TCAAGATTGGTAGACAAGAGACTCATTAATAGCAACACACTTCCCCCACCCCTAAGATCACCCTTTTGCTGAATGACAAATAGAATAAAGGAGATACTGCCTATTAGACTGGTGCCCTACTTAAAAAATATCAGTATGAGTCCAAAATTCAGCCCTAGAGTACTAAAAATGAACAACCAAAACACAAAGAGAATGTAGACATACTATGAAAAATGTAACCAATGTCACTGATCAATCTGTTTGTAAACTATCAAATGGAAACCTAACTTGCTGTGTAAACTTTTGCCAAAAACACAACTATTATTTTCAAAAAAGGTGATGCACTCTCATTTCCACAGAATGTACGAGAAGGAAATGGAAAGCGGCTTCTATTTACGTACCTTACAAATGTGCTGCGAAATGCACGGCCTGTGTGGCAGAAGTTCTACAAAGTACCTTGAACTTCTCAGATGAAAGGCACTATAAAAACATTAAAAATATCATGAATTACAGCTACTTGTTTTACATAGAAAAAACAAAGTGCAAGGTATAAACAGGCTTGCTCAAAGTTCCATGAAGAGAGAGAGAAAAAAAGTGCAGAATTTGTAATTGACGTATCATAAAATGTACAATTCTTGGCATTCCTTCAGTAATCTAAAATGTATACAATCAACCTTATTTTCTGAATATTATAAATCACTGTTGCCTTTTGTAAGCAAAAAATCAAAAAGGCCGATGAATTCTATGTAAATTAATTTCCCCCAACATTTTATTATGAAAACTTCCAAACACACAGCAAAGTTAAAAGATTTTTATAGTGAACAACTGTATTCCCACCACCTAAATTCTACCATGAATATTATTTTTAATTGTGGTGAAAATATACATAACAACCACTTGCCAATTTAGCAATTTATACATGTATATAATTCAGTGACACTGATTATATTATCGCTATCTTTTCCCAAATTATTCTCCCATATCATGAACATTATTTTAATGATTTGTTTTACCAAATTACATTTCCTTTTTAATGCAATCACTACATAGAAATGATAGGCTGAAAAGTGACTGCCAGAAAATCAATGACTTCAAAAAACAGAGCTGAAGTCATTAGATCAAGGAATTCATAAAACTAGGAAATCCTTCTGATATTCTTATCAGAAATGATCAGTATTAGAATATTGTTTAAAGTCAGAATGGATTTATATCTACGCCTATTCACAGCAAGTGATTCTAGTTATGTTTAGTAACACCATGTCATTCTTTGCTAAAAAATATCTAATGACTTCCCTCTCAGAATACCCAAAGAACTTCCTATGGCCTAGAGGACCTGTGGCCCTAGAGGATGGCTTTTTGCCTAAGGCAGTCACCAGCCAAGCACAAGGCTGGTGGTTCAAACCCACCAGCCACTCCTCGGAAGGAAGATGAGGCAATCTACTTCCGTAGTGATACCACCTCAGAAACCCAAGGAGGGGTCCCTATGAGTTGGGTCCAACTCAATAGCACATAACAACAACAACAGGCCCTGGATGATCTGGTCCCTGGCTGCCTTTCTAATCTCTTCTTCCCTTCCCACTTTTTCCTTCACTCACACTACTCCCAACTTATTTCACTGGCTGCTTATGTTCTCCTATTTCCTTTCACTGGAATATTAAAATACTACGATAATATGCTTAAGGGGGAAAAAAAAATCAAGCTCAATTTGGTACAAACTGCAAACTCAGCTCCCAGTTTAATGATCATTAGTTATAAAAATATATTCAGAATCATCTGGAGGAAGCATCACTAAATTAAGACCAAATCCAGAATGAACAGCTTCAGTGCCTGTCTGATTTGCAGTCACATGACTATCATAATTACCAGTATACACGGCTATCACTTAATGCCACAGCACCACAGATTAAAAAATGAGTCACCTGAAATAGAAACACTTGAAAATAGGGATTTTACAGTTTACTTTAAACTGTCTTTGAAATTTTAACTTATTAATCTCTCAAATACTTAAAGTAAACATGTCCCCAAAGAACAGAATATAGTAAGATACATATTTTTAACACTAACATGCTTAAAATTTAGTCACATTAATGGAAGGTGCAGGCAAACTGAGTTCCACTGACTAGACACATAATGTTAAACTAAGGGAGGATGAAATACTTTGGCATTATTTATAACTACAAATATATGACTGTTTAAAATCTATTGATTATGTATCATTTATCATTATCACTAGTAGCCACAATGCTATCGACTCATGGTGCTATCTACAGAAGCTGATCAAACCCAAATCAGGTCTGTCAGAAGTTGAAATATTAGCCTATCTTCTGACAGTTAACATGTATTTCTCACCTCTCGGACAATAAAGAAGGCCAAAGTAGCACCCCAGATCCACCTCCTGTCACTGCTTGGACTCCACCCCTTGCTTGAACAGGAAGCACCTGAAAATCTACCTGCTTTCACTCTCCTAATAACTTACACTCCCACATGACCAGGATAAACTTTTTAAAAGTTGACTGGAAAAACAAAACAAAAAGTAATCAGGACTATGAAAATATTCCAACAAAACCACCACCACACCATGTGCATGGGGGACTGCTTACTTAATATAAGCAGTTTCTTCCCAACAAGTCAATACTCAAAAAAGGCCCACAGTGACCTGACAGTATTTTAGCCTGAACTATGTTGGATTTGGAGCAAGGAGGTCTCAACTTTCCTTTGGAAGAAGTTGGTCCAACAAGACGACCCAAACATCTAAAGCCAGGACTAACAACCACTAACCTTCTATATTCATTTAGCTGCTCCATTCAACTGCTACAGAAGCACCCAGATACAGAAGAGTGCTGTGAAAGCTAAATAACTATGATTTGTTTGGCAAATCAATTTCTTAGAGTCTCCTAACTATGCGCAATCAACAAGAAGAAAACACTGAAACACTGCACTAACTTGGAAGTCCCGAATTTTCACTGACTCTAGGCCAGAAGCTCAGGAGTACATGGAGAAAACTTTACAGTTCTGGTTTGCCCCCTAACTAGATATATTATCATGGTAAATTTAGTCAATTCTCTGGGACTCAGTTTCCTCATCTGCAAAAGGAAGTGGAAACGGTTGGACTGCCAGTCCTGAGATCCCTTTCAGTTCTAAAAAGTGGTTCTATGAAGTCAGTTGATGGTTATTTTCCTACTCTCCTTTTCCCTCCAGTACAGCCTTTTTATGACAATAGAGGTTGTACACAGCTCTAGGATTCAACACAGGTTCCATACTATATTTTTTGTTACATCCCCAAGAACCACCAGCGAGCCATCTACCAAAGTAGATGGAACTACCTGTAATTTATCCGAAGAGATTCTCAATAAATCGTTCTTTACAATTAAGAACAAGTCTTGTATTTTTCAGTCCAAACAGTATCACTTGTGCCAAACGCTCAAAATACTATGTCCACCAGTTTAGTTATGGTGGCAATCATGTACATGTACAGATTACACATTTGGGTGTATGACACTAGGTGGTTCAAAAATTCTCACCACATACAGTATTTTAAATAATGGCTTTTAAAACAAAAGTATTTTTCCCTTCAATTTTGGCGGAGTAGAAATCTGGTACCACACCTGCAAAAAGAACACGTTTATTTCAAAAAAGGTGTCTTAAAGAAAAAAAAGAACCAATCAAGTAAAATTCTTAAATCAGGACAACTGAAAAGCACAGGTTTAACCTTTTTACCTTCTTCCCCAACTCTGAGGCAAAAAAAGATGCCATTTTTCTACCGTAAACTACTACACAGAGTTCACCAAATCGACTGGAGCACAAGTACTCCTATTCAATGAAAACTACCTGTAACTGTGGATCTAAAGACAGATATTTAAATGCTTCCTAAGTTTAATCAAGATAATAATTTGGACTAAACAAAATTGCAAATTAATACTCTATTTTGATGGAATACAACTTAAATCATGAAAAAATACTCTCTTCAATTGGAAAATGTCCCTTTAAACAAAAAAGATAGTGCTGGTCCCTAAGATTACAACACAACCTCGAATAACACTGCATTAAAAAGAAAACGTACCCCAAACATAACTGGGCTTTCAAACAGCAAAATACAGTGATCCCTGTTTTACAGCAAACGTTAAAAGTCAAAATGGAGTTGTGAACTATAACTTTCCCATTTCAACTCCGACAGCCATGCGCGCTTCAGAGGCCGGCAGCACAGCGTGGTCCCGGGGCCCGACTCGGAGCCCCCGTGCGGCCGCCGCGACTCCAGGTCGCGGAACCGGCACCGCTGTGAAAGCAAGCGCCGGGGAGGGGCGGCAGACGGGCGGGCGGCTGGGGCCCTACCAGGCCCGGCCGGGCGGGGGAAGGGGCGCGGGCGGTGGCGGGGCGCGCTTCCGGGGCCTGCACGGGCGGGGCCATCGCCTCAGGGAGCGGAGCCGGGACCGAAAGCCGGAAGCTAGGGGCTGGGGACCACAGACCGGACACCGGGGGCAACCAGCCGGGAGCACCAGATAGGGCGCGGTCGTGGCGGGTCGGCGAGCTAGTGGCCGGAAGGGTGCAGAGCGGGCCGACCCGGGGCGCCGCGGCGCCGGGAGATAACCCTGCCGCTCACCTCTGGCGACGAGTGAGTCTAGCCTCTTCGCGCCGAGGACGCCTCTCGGCGAGTCGCGAGCTGAGAACCGCTGGCGGGTAGCTGAGGAGGCGGCGTCGGACTAACGAGAGAACCGGAGGACGGCAGGCGGCAGGCGGGGAGCTCGAGCGAGCGAGGGCGGGCGGCGGCGGGAGGGCGGGGAGCGACGTGCGCGCCCCCGAGCGCCCGGCGGGCTTGAGCCGGCCCTAGTCGCGGCTCCGCGCACGCGCGCGCACTCACAACTTAGCCACGATTGCTCAGGAGTGCGTCCACGCCCTAAGAGCAAGGCGTTTAACCAATCATTGCAGCCGCGCGGTGCATCACGGGAACTCTGGGGCTATAAAAGACCTGGTTGCTATTTTATACCCTTCGAGTCACCCATCCTTTGAGCAAGCAGGGTGGGGCTAGGCGCGCGTGCGCGTCTTTAATACTCCTCCCCAAACTGCCAACTCTTCGCTCATGCGAGGTAGGCGTCCCTGGCTGGGTTTACGCGTGCGCACTAACTGGCTTGGGCTCGGAAGACCAAGCGCCTGCGCAGTGAGGACTACGGTGACAGTCTGGGGTGGGGCGCAGTCCAATCATGGCGGAGCCTTGGTCCGGGCAGTCCTTGCAGGCTGTACCGGCCACGGTGCTGGGCGCACTGGGCACCCTAGGCAGCGAGTTCCTGCGGGAGTGGGAAGCGCAGGACATGCGCGTAACTCTCTTCAAGCTGCTGTTGCTGTGGTTGGTGTTAAGTCTCCTGGGCATCCAGCTGGCGTGGGGCTTCTACGGGAGCACGGTGACCGGGCTATATCACCGCCCAGGTGAGGTTCCCCAGCAACCTCCGCGGGCCGCCCACCCCCACCAGACTGTACTATTCGGCTCCCCAGGACCTCCCTAGAATACCACTGGTCTCCCAAGAGTCTTAGCAGACTTTGATGCTGAGCCCATACTGTTTAATGCCACCATACTATTACACGCCAGAATCCCCACTTGTCCACCCTTCACATTTTAACTTTCCCAGAATCTTCACCAGATAATACCACTAATCCTTTAGGACCCACCCACTGTACTCTCCACCAAACAGTACTACTGGCCCCTAACCTAACTTGGGCTGATGCCTGCTCAGATCCCCACCCCGCAGCCTGCTGCAGCTCTGGCTGTATTCCTGCCCCCAGGTCTGGGCGGCCAGAACGGATCCACACCTGATGGCTCCACGCATATCTCTGCTTGGTGAGTATATCTGTCCCTACTCAAATCCCTTGCGTGGCAGGCAGAGGACACTGTGCTGGGGGGGGCGGGATTCTCAGTGTGGGAGTCCTCCAGTTTAGTGGCCTTTAGAACAGGTAGCAAGGTCTCCAGCCAGAATTCACACTTCAGGTTGGGGTACACCTGGGCAATTTGTGCTGTCCGGAACCTGTGCAAAATGTCCCCATTTTTCAGATAAGACAATAATTTCAGAGAGATGAAGTGGCAAGTCTGTTGGATTCCTTTCCAATGTAAGCCCTTCCGTTGGGAAGGCAGCAGTGTCCATAGCACTAAGTGACCTCATCTGGGTCAGCCTCTTGGTATGCGAAACATCAATTTAACTAATCAGGCAGACATTCAGCTCATCTCAGAGCTGAGACCAAATTCTTAGTTTCCTAGGGCTGCCATAAAAAAATGGATAGCTTCAAAGAACAGTAATTAATGTTCTCACGGTTGCGGAGGCTAAAAGTCCAAATCAGCCAAATTGAGGTTAATTTCTTCTGTAGGCCTTTCTCCTGCTTTCTGGTAGCTGCCAGCAATCATTGGCATTTATTTGCTGCCTATTGACTATCTGCCTCTTTCACACTCTATTTATAACAGAAAAAAAAAAAAAAAAACACCTCACTACCATCAAGTTGATTCTAACTCATAGTGATCCTCATTGGGTTTCCAAGGCTGTAAATCTTTTCAGAAGCAGACTGCCTTCTTTCTTCCACAGAGTGACTGGTGGGTTTGAACCACTGACCTTTTGGTTAGTAGCCAAATACCTTAACCATTATACCACCAGAGCTCCTTCTTTTTTATGTCATTCAAAAGGAATTAGAATTAGGACCCACCCTACCCTGGTGTGATAGCATTTGACCCAACTGATAACAAAAGGAAAATCCTATTGCCCCAAAGTCATATTCACAAGTACAGGGGTTAGGACTGAAAAGTGTCCTTTTTGGGGACATAATTCAATCCATAACACTCTACCCTTTGGCCCCCCAAAATCCATTTCCTTCCCATGTGCAAAATACATTCAATTCACTCTATCACAAAAGTCTTAATGCATTTCAGTATCCACTCTTAAGTGCAAAATTTCATCTTTTAAATCATCTAAATCAAGTAAGGGTGAGACTGAGTGTTTTCTATCCTGAGGTAAAATTCCTCTCCATCTGTGGACCTGTGAAACCTAGAATACTGGTTATTTGCCTCCAAAATAAAATGGTGGTCCCTACCATGTGGTGAGAGCTTAGAAATTAGCTGAATTAATGCAGACATGGAAGGGAAAGACCTGCAGGGCCCTTATCCTAAGGTCAAAAGAATTACTGAAGGATTCTGGGAGGTACCCTGATATAATTTGCCTTTATAACTGCCTGTGTCATGGCAAGTAGATAAAGAGGTCCAAGAATGAGGGCAAGAGGCTAGTTGTCCTGGGCAATTGGGGAAGGATGATGGCACCATAAAGTGGGGACCCAGGAGGAAGACCAGGTCTGCAGAAGGAAGGTGGTGAGCCCAGTGTGGGCTGTGGGGCCTGTGAGGCACCATCTGGATCTCAGCAGAGATGGATTGTAAATGGCCTTATTGAGCTGAGCTCTGCTCCCAAGAAGGGTCTGGGATGAGCCAATCCCAGGGACTATTCTACCCACGGAATAACCCATCTCTTCTGTCCATCACTTTCAGGGAAACGGCAGCAAATGAATCTCTCAAAACCCACAGAGAATAAGAGAAGGCAACAGGGAGTCTCCTGAGTCTGCTGGCTCCCACTCTGTGTTCTGCTGCTGCCCAGGTTCCAAGGATGACTCCAGGGAGCTTGCGGTTGGGGACAGAGAAAGCTCATTGCTTGCAGGGCTAGGCCTCTGCTGGCTTTGGCCCTGCCTCCAACAGCCCCAGGCACTGAGCCTGTGAACACTGGTTGCCTCTGCCCTGATTTGAGTGCCTTAAGGAGAGAAAGTGCTCTTCCTTTCTGAGGTTGGAGCTCAGGAGAAGCCTCTTCACTGGAGAGGCCAACAATCAGTTTTCTACCCTAGCTTTTGCCTTTCCCTCTTCCCATCCTCCTGTCGTGTGATTCTATAGAGATTTGTCTCCCTGAGGATGCTTGATGAGGTTGACAACTCTGGGATTTGTAAGGAAAGTCTAAGCATTGGGTTCCCTGGATTCCTTTTGTTTTACTTTGTTGGCAGGGAGCCAGGAAATCCTGGCCTGCACCAGGCCTTACACTCTGGCATGTCCTCTCACCCCCACTGCTGAAGTGCCCATGGAGTCTCGGGTCTATAACCTGTCCACTCACTGGGAAGTACTGAGAAGTTACTTAGCTAGTTATTCAGATATAAGACACCATCCAATCATGGAGGCATTGAACACCACCTCCTTGGCCCATCTAGAGCTCTTCAGGTATGAACCAGGCCAAGGAAATTATCATTTTTCAAGTGTCCTACTCATATTCCTCAACCTTTCTGAAGGGAAGCTGGATGCCTAAAAGGGGCAGAGTCTACCAGCTGAACTCCTGGGATGGCCTCCCACCTCTACCACTGAAGGGCCCATGGGGCCTCAAGTCTGTACCCAGCCCCTTCTCTGGGAGGTACTGAGCTGTTAGTACAGAGCAGCCCTATCATGCCCTGCAGCCTCATCACTTCCCACCTTGATGTGGAACATCATTAGAAGGAGCCTCATTCTGAGAGCCCCAAGGCTCAGCTTTTCACCAGCACCATCTCAGTGCAGAAGATCCACAGCCAGGCAGGCCTGTTACCTTCACAGTGGGGTTCCTGAAAGCAGTGTGGCCCTGGACCTGCCTCTCTTCCTGATGGCAACACCTCTGCCTGCTTCTGCTGGGCCACCAGCTACCTCAGTGTCCCGCTGCCCACTTGCTCTGTTAGAGGTCCCATTTCTGAATGGCAGCTTTTGCCTAGACCATGCTTATGGCAGGGGGGCAGTGGAAGTGGGGCTACCTTGAGCACATGTTCCCACTCCAGAGATGTCTTCTGGCTGACAAACTGATGGCCTTTCCAGGCCCACCCACCACCTCACCACATGAAGATTCAGGTCCTAACATCTCACCCCAGGTTCAACTGAGGACGTGGCTTATTAAAAATGGAAGTGGATCAGTCGTGTGGTTATTCAGACAGGACAAGGCCATACATCATACATGCACAGGGGTGACTGGAGAAGGAACACCAGGGGGGGGCTGTTGCTTCTCAGGACCCAGAATGTATGGTTTGCAGAGGTGGAGAGATGATGCCAGCTCCCTAGAAGAGTGATGGTGGGGTGCCCAACAGGAGCAACATCTTGGTCAGTTCTTACAGGCCTGGCCCTTCCCAAGAACCCATTCTAAGCCTATCATAGAGCCCAGGATGGCAGATACGGGCTGGCACCCCAAGAACCTCGTAGATAAAGCACAATGAAGCTAACAACTATGGCAAGCAAGGAGGAAGGAAGCTCCTTTAATTTTTTTCAGGAGTCAGTGTAGTCCAGTAATGGGCCCCCAGGCCAAAGGTCAGCCCAGGGTAAGGCAGATTCAGAAAGAGATCCAGCCAAGCCCTACAGCAGCCCTGGAGCTCAGAACAGATGGTGAGCTTGGCACGGCTAGTTTACTGCTGGGTGGTAGGCTGGGCGGAATTGGAAATAAGAGGGAATCTGTGCCCTCTCAGTCATCTCCAAGTTTACACACAGGCACCACAACTCTATTGGGCCAACCTTCAGTGAGTCAGGAATCATTCCTGCCCGGGGAAAGGCAACAGTTTGCATTCGTGAAAAGCAAATTGGAGGAGGTGGCCTGAGCCAGCACTGCCCAACGTAATAGCCCTTTATAGTGTGAGAAACAGCATTGAGAGGTAGGTTGGGCAGGCTTTAGCCTTCCTACAAAGGTGAGCCTGTGTTCCACAGCTAGGACCTGGCAGAGTGGAAAGGAGAGATGCCAGAACTCGTGTTTCTCACAGCCCTCCACAGGTGAGAGAAGAGTCAGTGGGAATGTGGGCCGAAACACAATATTGGGTAAGCTGGCGGGGGCGGGGGGGGGGGGAGTGATAGGGCAGGGCATGCGGGAATAGGTGGTAAGGTTTTCCTTGACCAGATAACTAGACTAACTTCCGGCCTAACACCCACCCCCACATATTCTGAGTTTCCTAACTAACCACTTACAGAATTTCCTCCAGGGCAAGGCTCTTGGAGAGGAGGGCCCTGCTCCCAGCCACCCTCACTTAAGGGTATAATAATTTGTAGGTACAAAGGGCATCTTGCTGACCACAGCTGCCTGCTGTTTCCGCCGCACTTCTACCAGCACCAAGGTCCCTGGCTGACTGTACTTGCAGGGCACATAACCCATTGCCACATTCTTCTTCAGGCTGGGCGAGGGGCAGCCACTGGTCACAGTACCTGTATAGGCAAATACCACGCATCAGCACCACCACTCCAACACCTCTGCGGACTGTTGGGAAAAGGGCTCCCTAGCCTCCCTGGTCCACCTACCGATCACAGTACCCTCCATGCTCAGGATGGGGCTGTGTGCCCGCATTGGGGGCCCCTCACACATCAATCCCACACGCCTCCGCTGCACCTTGCCCTTAAGCTGGGGAGCAATGACCTCGGCTCCAGGGAAGTCCATGGCAGCTCGACGGCGCTTTCCTGGAACAGGACAACCCAAACCTAAGTCACAGCTCATAGAAGCCCTGGCCACAGGAGATCCTACTACAAGTACCCCCAAGTGACATCCACCAGTATCAAGACTCCATTCGGCCTTCTCCCAAGCCCCCGTCCTTCCCTGCACTGCAGTCAATCAGCCACCTACCTCCTGTCCCCTTGCCCAGAAGTCCATGCTGCCCACCTTGGCCTGACAAAGGTCCTCAGCTTCTAATGAGCAAGGCCACAGCACCAACTCCAAGCAATGGAAGCTCAGGGAGGCCAAGTCACTTGCTCCAGGCTACACAACCTCGGGAGCTGTCAAGGACTGGCTGGTCTCAGTAAGGACCATTCCAACCTTTAGGACCCCATCCTGGAGTGTCAGCCTAGCTCACCCAATGTCCAACTGAGGCTGCCCTCCACAGGTGTGGTATGCTCATCAATGTCGTTCCCATACAGGCAGAGGCCTGCCTCCAGGCGCAGGCTGTCCCGCGCTGCCAGCCCTGCCAGCTTCACCTCTGGGTTTTCCAGTAGAGCTGTTGCCAGGTGGACTGCCCCTGCTGCCGGCACTGAAATCTGCATGGGATACCATACAGCAGGTGGGCAGCTGCCCCAGGGTCCTGTGTATGCAAATGCCTATGCCCACTGCTTGACAAACCTCCACACCATCTTCACCGGTATAGCCACAGCGGGTCACACGGCAGCCAGACACGCCAAACACCTCCATCACAGCACTGGTCATGAAAGGCAGCTTCCTCAGGTCATCTGTCACACCAGCCTGCAGCACCTGGACTGCAGTGGGGCCTGGGCCCAGGAAACAAGTAACCAAGTGTCCAAGAGCCCTTCAAAGCCAGGTGATAGCCTTTAGGGACCAGAACAATCCTGAGATTCTTGTTCCTTCTCTGCAGGTGGGAGAAGACACCCTTGTACCCAACCCACAGAGCCTGTGGTAGGTGGGGAAGGGGTAAGATATAAAACTTAGAAGTATGGCTCACTAATATGCAATCCACACCCTCCTGGCCTGGCCTCTGTGCTAAACAGTTGAAGTCAGAAAGGCAGAGGTCAGTTCCAACCCCAGGCCTGCCCTCTCTCACCTTGTAGGGCCAGCAGGGCATTATCCACCACCTCTAAGCCCACATCACTGCCCATGTTCTGAAGCTCTCTGACCTTGTTCTAAAAGAAGAAACACAAATATTACTTACTGTGCACTTACCATGAACCAGGCACTACAGCGTGGGCAATGAGACAATAGGTTGGTTTCCATCTTATAGAAGACTGAGGCTCAGAGATGGTGGGTGACTTTCCCAAGGTCACATACCCACTAAGTAGTAGGAGTAACTCAAGCCCAGATCTGCCAGCTTTCATACCAGGTTCCAGACTTCCACCTTCCCCAGCGGATGTTCACTGAGGGGCCAGGGTCAGCTTTACCTGCCCCTCTCCCCCTCATCTAACCCTGGCTTATTCCGGGGAGGGCCTGCTCTGAGTCTCCCAGCTATTCATTCACTGAAGAACCAATTTCTGAGCCCCTTAGCCATGCCAACACTGTCCTGGGCACCAGGGCTGCCATTCTGTGAACAAGGAGGACAGAGTGCCTTGGGCATGGAAGGGGCTGTACCTGCATCAGGGCCAAATCTTTGTCCCAGCAGCCAGCATTGGATACCACATACAGGTGCCCCTCAGAGGTGTTGGTGACAATCAAGTCATCTAGGATGCCTCCAGCCTCATTGGTGAACAGTGACAGTGTCCCCTGGTAACAAAGTGGAGCATCTTTACCTCCACCTCCAGGTCCAGGAGGCCAAAGCCAAGGATGAGCCAAACACCCCTCTGGTCCCACACAGCCACCACAAACTCATCAACCCTGATCAACAGGTGTGGGCATGTACAAGGTGCAAGGATGGGTCAATCTGAGTCCCTGCCCAAGCCTAGGGTCTTTGCTCCTCATGCATCAAGAAAGTTTCATCCCCTCCCCACCTTGGACTTCCTCAATCTAGTAGGGCATCTGCACCCCTCCCCACTCGTTCTGGGAGCCCTATGTGGTGGTTAAATTTGTGTGTCAACTTGGCTGGCCCTGGTTGAGTGGCTGGGCAGCTGAATGTAGTTATTCCCCATAATGAGATTAGTAATTAACTCCATGGTGGACTCTTTTGGAGCAGCTGAGTAGCTGCTTTGGGTATGTGGTCTGCTTCCCATATATAAGAAACAGCTTTGGGAATGATCTCTAGCTTATGGCACACTTGAACCCTGCATGTAGCTGTGCCATTTAGCAGCCTGCCATGCTCTACCGACCTTAGGACTTTCGATAGACTTGGATTAATGGCCTGCCATGTGGTTTGGTAACATTAGGACTGTGCCTTTTTACTTGTGAACCTTGGGCTTGTCAGCCTCAGCAGCCAGCAGCTGTCAGAGTGAAGAAAAGCCTCTAACTTCAGTGGGCCAGAAGCAGGAGGCAGAGCTGAAGCCTAAGGTTGAGGGGCTTTCTTTCACCCAGCTCCTAGAGCCTGGCACTTTGAACTCAGACTTAGAGCCTCCAAACTGTAAAAGAATAAACTCCTGTTTGTTCAAGCATCCCATTTTTGGTATATCTTCTGTTAGAGCAGCACAGGGGTTACCAGAACACCCTATCTTACACTTAATACGTAGGACCTGCTCTTCATTCCACCCAGACTTGGGACAGTTCAGCCCATGCCTCAACCCCCAGGAAAGAAACTTCAACGTCTGTCCTGAAAATCCACAGTCCTAAAGCACTCAACAGCAATGCCCTTGAAGATACTACAAGGCTGGCATCAGCCTCCCATTGGATGAAGAGCCTGAGGTTTAGAGATCACATGAATCTCCCAGGAAGCTTATTAAAGCACAGGTTCTGATTCCACAGGTCTGGGGCTTGAGACTGTATTCTTTTTTTTTTTTTTTTTTTAATTGTGATTTGAATATTTACAGAGCAAATTCACTTTCTATACAGCAGTTCACATATACTTTGTGAAACTGTATTAAGTTCCTGAGTGATGATAAAGCTGCTGGCTTAAGCACCACATTTTCAATAAGGAGGAGTCAGGTAGCATGGGAAGTCACAGAATAGTACATCAACTTGGGTTTCTGGCCTCCTTGCCTAATAGAGCAGGGCTGGGACAGGCCCCTCCCTGCAGATGGCTGGGTGTTTCTATATGACTCAGGGACTCTCCAGGAGTGCAAGCCTTGAGAAGCTGTGTCTGATCTATCTGTATGCCCCCAAGCCCACAGGGGCTCAGCCGATGTTTGCTGCTCATGGCTAAGAATATCAATTGAGCAGAAATAAGGGAAGGCCCACCTGGTTTGGCTTTAGCTCTGCAATGTCTCCGACCACTAGACTCTCCATCAACTTCACACGGTCACAACCAAATATCTTGGTCTGAGGAAGAGATTAAAAACCTTAGGCCACTGCAACAGCTGTAGTCAGAAGGTGGCACTGGGCAAGGAAGCATCCACCCTGCCATCCACAGGGTAGTCCAGCCAACTGAAGTGCCTGGCCCAACTTTTGGTTCTGCAGGTGGCAGAGACCCCGGGACCTTCTAATTCCCCTACATCCTCCAGCATAGAGCAGGCTCGCTAAGGGAGGTGATGGGAAGTCAGGAAACTCAAGAGGAACCTAGCACCTTCCTGAAATACCCCTTTTCCAAACCCATACCCAGGACCATTGATGAGGGCAGGTACCAGTCCTGGAAAGCTCAGAATGTTAAGGCATGCCACTAAGTGGAAGTAGGCTGGATAGATTAGATGGGGACATCAGGAGAATTTCTCCAAGGCCACAGTCAGTCTCATGACACTCATGACACCCAGCTCTTCTGGGAGGTCGGCCCTTAGGATCCAGGTCCCAGGAAACATAGCCGAGGAAAACTGGTCTGGCAGTTGATGCTTTCCCCTGGCTCACCTGCAGCATATGGGATACATCAAAGAGCGAGCAATGCCGGCGTGTGTGCAGGTGAGAGTCGATGTGGCTGTCCCGGTACTGCACTGGCAGGCTCCAGCCCGCAAACGCCACCATCTTCCCGCCATGGGCCAGGTGGAAGTCATAGAGCGGCGTCCTACGGAGCGTGTCCTACGGGTGGCCAGGCTCAGTGCTGCCAGGACCCCAGACCCCCCGCCGCCTCCCTCCCCTGCTAAGGTCAACACCCCGCATCAGCACCCTCTATCCCACCTGTGCATAACTGAGTGATCGGTCCAGGGTTGAGGAGGGTGCCTGCAGGCGCAAGCCCAGCCGGGCCACCACGCTCCCTGCCCGCCTCATCGTCGCCCACAACCCGTGCAGCCAGCGCACAGAGGCCACCACTCTGCCAGGCACGCTGGGAGATGTAGTCCGGCCCCTGGCCGGACAGGTTTTTAATCCCGTGCCTGCGCCCAGAAGAGGAGACAGGCAGCCCCGAGGGCAGGCCAGGCTTTCTAGCAGAGTTCAGATTCCAAACTGCAGGAAAATAACCCCAGGCTCTTCCACCTGGCTGAACAGGGCAGTTTGACTAGCCCAAAGCCACAGCTGGGGGCTAGACCTCCCCCTGACAACTGTCCTGCCTCCAAAGGATCAAAGTTCTGCAAAGGGCTGAAATCAGTCAGGACCCTAGAAGCCAAAGGTCAAATGGTGGAGGAGGGGTTAGAAGTCCATAGTATGGTGCAGCCAGCCTGACAGACAGAGCACCATGGTAACCTGGCTTCATGCGAAGGTCCCCAGCTCTCCCACTGGGCAGTCACAGGCAGCCAGCACAGTCATGCATTCTACAAGTGTTTATTGATCTTGTTGCACACCAGGCCCTGTGCTTATTGCTGGAGACACAGTAGTGAATGAAGGGCCTCAGGGTCCCCCCCCCATCACACACAGACATATTGAGGGTCTCTGCTCCCTGAGCATAGGACTTCAGTCATCATCCTCTCACTGAAATCAGAGTGGGGCTAAGTTGATGACCCTGCAGGCAAAGACACCACCTACAAGAATTCTGAAGGATGAGAGCCAAGGGTGGCCACCAAAAGGTGGCTAAACTTCCCCCCAAAATTTATTGAGTCTCACATGCATCCAATTTTCCAGGTCCAACACACCAGCATTAGTGCTGCACAGTAGCCCCAGGGGCAAAGCCAGACAGAACCAGAAGGAGGCAGGATTTTCACATAAGCTGATAAAAAGGAAGAGCATCCTGACTTATTCAGTGGCTGGCCTGGGATTATGAAGGACCTCAGCCTCCTAAGAAGGTAAAGATGTTCTTTGAGTTGGTAGATGGCTGGCATGTCCCAGGTGTTTTTCTTAGGCTCCAGCCTTGCCAGAAGCACCTGTTCAGGCCTAATAGGCAGACCCATTTGGACACATGTCCAGATGCCACCTAGGAACTAAAGAACTAAGACTGCCCAAATCTCCAGCTTTATTTCCCAGGCAGGCAGCAAAAGCACCCAGACAGGAAATGTGTTTGTGTATGGGTGTAACACAAAGGACAAGAAGGCCACTAAGTGGCCCTGAAGGAAGAAAAGGAACTCTTGTTTCTCCTTCAAGCTTCCAATCAACAAGAGTACCATGGCAGCAGAGGCCTTCCTGGGCCAGATGGAGTAGTTCATCCCAACCCACTGTACTCAGAATGCTGGAGCAGGCAGAAGACAGGCATGTGCACTTTGGCAAGAGGTGTGGAGGGCACGTGGAGAGTCTTACTAAGTAGAACTGGAATGTTTTTAGAGTAGAAGAGTTCAGCTGTATCCTTCAAGGGCAGTGTATACCCCCGTCTGGAGCTCCTGCAGAAGCGACACAGTGAACCCCCGAGAATCTAGAATCCATGAAAGTGGCCCATCAGATAGGATGTGCATGCAGGTGGTGCTTGGAATGCACAGAGACTGTACTTCAGTCTCTGGTGGCTCAACCCAGGTCTGAGTGAGCACGGAAAGGCCAATGTCTTGAGTAGGAGCCATGGCTCAGGTGTAGGAGAGCAAGTTCAAGTCATAACAGCCATCCACCTGCAACACAAAAAGCCATTAGATCTGACCAGCTCAGGGCAACGCGAGCCAAGCAGAGGGAAGCGATCACTCACGTCAAAGCGGCCGATCCGCGTGGAGGTGTGACTGGCCCGGATCATCTCTGTCAGCGCCCACATCTGCTGCACCTCGGAGGATACCCTGCCGGGGTCTGGGAGACCCTGCTCCAGAAGGAGGGGTCAGTGGCTATGTGTGTCTCCCCAGCAGTGCCCTCAGGGCCCCAGAGAGGCCAAGCTGGGCTATGGGGCCCCCAGCTGAGACCAATAATATTCCCAGATGACTTGTGAGACATAAGGCTGGGGCCTGGTATAAAGTAGGCAGCCCAACTCCACGCCAGCAATGTTTCAAATCCCATGGTCTGTAAGCAAGTACCCAACAGGAAGATGGCAGAGACCAAGCTGAGGGCCCTGAGTCCAGCTCCAGATTCTATCAGAAAGGGCCCTCCAAGGCCTGTGCTGGACACTAGAGCCATTTGCCAATGGTTCTTACCCAGGGTACGGCTTACCTCAAGAAGGGGGATGGGCTGCTCACAGGGTACAGGGTGGGAGAGCCACTTGGGGAAGACCATGGAAGGGCTCTGCAAAGCAAGGCATCCAGCACTGAAGGAGTCAGAATGGTACAGTGCTGGGAGTAGGGTGGGGCCCCCTGAGCCTCAGACACTGGGAAAATCCAGTTCAGGGGCCCATAGAAGCTCAAGGGTGCAGTCAGGCTATAGAAGCTTTCCTACTATGCAGAAGGAGGCCCCAGGAATACTGTGACCTGCCACAAACAGCAGAAGGATCTCCCAGCAGCTGAAGGCTCCTGGCTCTGGGAGTGGCAGGTACCCTCAAAGGTCAAGGGATATGGCTTCAACACTCATCATGAGCTTTTGGCAATTCTACCCAGCCAAATTCCATGAAGACCTCCTTGCGAGTCTCACCATCTTCACCCATGCTCCACCCCAGCTCTTCCAGCCATAGATAGAAGCCTCCTGGTGAAAGGACCAGCCAATAGCTAGGTAGTCAGTCACCTACCTTTGGTCCCTGCTGGTAGATCTGCAGCTCCTCCACTGTGAAAGACAGCCACAATGGTGATGGCTGCCGCAGAATCAGGCGCAACTCCAATACCCTGGCCATGTCACACAGCATCTGATACACACACACAAGGACCCAGCGAGGACCCAGCTCACTGCCAGGAACCTTCCAATCAGCAGTGAACCAAGATGCTGCCTCCCCAGGCCTTTGAGAAGAACTCCCTCCAAAGTATTCACCCAGCCATAGCCCAGGCCAGCCTTGTCCCTCCTCTTCCCTCCTGGAGTACCGGCCCCAAGCCCACATCTGCACTTCCCTGGACATGCTGAGGCCCAGCTGACCTGGTGTTTAAACAGTGATACATATTCCTGGGCCCCCTCTTCACTGTGTGGGTCAGGCATTAGGCAGTAGTTCCGTAAACAGGTCACCCACTTGGCCGGAGTGTGCATTGAGGTGTGCTGGCGCACACGAATGCTCAGAAAAGCTGTGTAGTAATTCTTAAACATGATCTCCTGCAACTAGAACACACAAAACCCACCACAACAAATCACACTCAGGCCCAGGGCCTGAAAGCTCAAAAAATGCCATCTTCCTCCTCTCTTTAGTAATATATTCCTACTATACTAACAATTTAAAAAAGCATCTCCTACTTCTACTACAAAATTGCCCAAAGACAATTTTGCTCTCCTTGAAGAGCTCAAAGTTGAATGAGCAAGTCGTGCAAACAAACCACAAAACTATACATCTTGCCAGATGTCCAAGATGCTGCCAGAGTTCAGAGCCCTAACTCTAGAGGAGAGATGAGGCCTGAAAGAGGAAGAGTTCACCAACTGGACCAGGAGGGTAAGGAACAGAAAAGTAGCACATAAAAAGACCAGAGGTTGAAAGACCCTGGCACACTCCTGGAATAGTGGTGATTCAGCCTGGCTACAGCAGTGGTTCTCATCACTGCACACTCATCAATCACCCAAGGGCATTTAAAATGTTTGTGTGTGTGTGTGTGTGTGTGTGTAGCAGCTCTGGTGGCGTAGTGCCTAAGGCATTTGACTGCTAACCAGTAGGCTGGCGGTTCAAACCCACCAGCCACTCCTTGGAAGGAAGGTTGGGCAATCTGCTTCCATAATGATACCGCCTGAGAAACCCAAGGAGGGGTCATTATGAGTCAGATCCGACTCCATGGCAGTACGTTTGGTTTGGGGTGTGTGTGTGTGTGTGTCAAGGCTCCACCCCAGACCTACTGAATCAAGATCTCCAGAGTTGGGTCCTTTAATGAAGATTCATAGCTGATAGTAAGGAATAGCAGGGTGGAAACCACAAACGTCAGCACAAACTGCATGGGCAGAAGCCTGAGAACTAGGCAGGGTGTACACACAGACTGACCCTGAATGCTAGGCCGTTAGAAAGTAGACTTTATCCTCTATGTGGAGGTCATGCAGCGCCCAGTAACCCTGCCAGCTGATGTGGAAATACAGCTAGACACTGAAAACTAGAATCATTGGGAGGAGAGATAAGTTGAACCTGACCTCCTTCAGGGACACCAGGAATGGGCAAGAAGCAAGTTAAGGGGCAGCTCGTTGTCTGATGATCCCCAGCCCAGACCAGACACAAAATGATCCCTCGCCTCTATTTAGTTCACACTTATGTATTTATTTCCAACACCTAGTCTACTATCTGGCACCTCCATGCCAGCGCTGCCCTGGGCATAGGGGAGAGATACAGGGGAGTAAAAGACAGGAAGCTGCATTCTAGTAAATATGTATTAACTGAAAGAATAAATAAATGAAAGGTTAACTGAATCACAGAGGCAAAGAACACTGCAGAGGCTTTCCGTAAAAGATTAAAGGTCCAAGACGAGCCTGAGTTTCCAGGTCTGCCCTGACCCGGAGGCCTGGTCGCGCCCACTCCACGGCAGAGGGGAAGGGCTTGCTCACCTCGAAGGGCGGGACGCTGGGGAAGGTGACATCGATGACCAGCACGCCAGGCCGACCTTGGGAGGTACGCACGTCGCCAACCTGCAGAGCCACGGTGCCTTTCACATGGCAGGGCACTGACACGCGAGACATGGCGACACCGGCCGCGACCCCACTACGGCCACAGCTCCCAGCCTCTGACCACCAGTCTTCTCTAGCGACACCAGACGAGCCCGAAGAACTACAATCCCCGGCAGGACTTGTGCTCCGGCCAGCCCAGCCAATCAGCCATACTCAGGACGGTCCCCGGAAGTGCCTGCGGAAATTCTCTTTCAGCCAATCACTGCGCAAGCCTTCGGGAGCAGAGGGCGGGCCAATCCAAGCTACTGAGGAGCTTCGGAACCGCGCCCTTCCTTGTAGGTAGCAACCGTTGTGGGCTGCTTGTTAGGTGTCCTACTTAGGTGCCTTGTGTGTAAAGCAGTCGTCAGTTAAAGCAAGAAAGTGATGAGCATAGATGAGCATAGTGGCTGGCCGACAGTAATTGCAAAAATAAATATTTAAAAAAAGGCAAAGGATTTGAACAAATACTTTACAAAACATGATAAATGGCGAATAAGCACATGAAAAGATGTTTAACATAACTATTCTTCAGGAAAATAAAAATTAGAGCCGCTACATATTAGAAGCCCCTACACATCTACCGGGAGCTCTGGTAGCATAGTGGCTAAGACACTTGCCTGCTAACCAGACGGCTGGCGGTTCAAACCCACTAGCCACTCCTCGGAAGGAAGGTTGGGCAATCCTACTTCCGTAGTGATACTGCCTCGGAAACCCAAGGAGGGGTCGCTATGAGTCGGGGCCGACTGGATGGCACATAACAACAACAACACATCTACCAGGAGCTCTGGTAGTGTAGTGCCTAAGGCATTTGACTGCCAAGCAGAAGGCTGGCGGTTCAAAGCCACAAGCTCCTCCTTAGAAGGACATTTGAGCAATCTACATCCATAGTGATACTGCCTCAGAAATCCAAGGAGGGTTGGCTAGGAGTTGGATCTGACTCCATGGCAGTGAGTATGGTTTTTGGTACGCATCCACTGAAGGTCTCTACTTGGTGCAAACAGTTTGTACTACTGACCCAAATGTTGACAGTCTGAACCAACCCAGCAGTGCTGCGGAGAAAAAGGTCCGCCCATAGGCTTCCATGGGAGCTTTTGTGGCGTAGTGTTTAAGGCATTTGACTACTAACCAGAAGGCTGGCCGTTGAAACCCACCAGCCACTCCTCAGAAGCAAGATTGGACAATCAACTTCGGTAGCCATACCACCTTGGAAACCCAAGGAGGGGTAGCTCTGAGTTGGATCCAACTGCAGGGGAGTGAGTTTACAGGCTTCCATTAAATGCTTTTAACTCTTGGCAGCTATGGCCAAGAAAATCCTATGGTGCAGTTCTACTCTGTAACACATGTGATCACCATGAAGTAGAATTGACTCCACGGCAACCATCACCACCACAACAACGCATCCACTGAACTACCTAAAATGAGAAGATAGTGAGGATGGAGTCCCCGGAACCATTATCCACTGACAATTTCCAACCATTTTGGAAAACAGTTTGGCCATTTCTTAAAAAGCTAAATTTATACCTATGATATAACCCAGTCATTGCCCTCCTATGTATTTACCCAAGAGAGATTAGATTCTATGTATACCCAAAGGCTTTATTCATAATAGTCAAAAGTTGGAAACAACTCAAATGTTCAACAGATGAACAGATGAAGACGAAGTCCTGTGGTATAGCCATACAATGGAATACTACTCAACAATAAAAAGGAACAAACAACTGGTACACATAACAGGGATGGATCTCAAGTACATTATGTTAAGCAAAAGAAGATGGATCCAAAAGAGTATATACTCTGTAAATCCACTTAAATGAAATTCTAAAAAAAGGCAAAACAATCTACAGTAATAGAAATCAGAATAGTGTTGCCTGGGGCTAGGGTGATTAGAGGGAATTGATACAGAATTATCAACGTATAACGGAACATTTTGGGATGACAGAAATGTTCCATAATTTGATTGTAGTAGTGGTTACGTTTGTCTAGAGTTTGTCAAAACTCATTAAACACTAAGGACGCATGCTTTTTATTAGGAGCTCTGGTGGTGTACTGCCTAAGGGATTTGACTGCTAATCCAAAGGCTGGCCGTTCAAACACACCAGCCACTCCTCAGAAGGAAGACTGGGCAATCTATTTCCATATTGTGTCTAAATTATACACAGTAAACGTGATTCTAAAAAAGCAAAGCAAAATATAAATATTAACCATCATATATATCATTGTCATCCTTTGAGATATTTGTGGAACCAATGCTTCAGAAATTGTCAGTAAAACCCTTTTTACAGATGACAATGCAGAGGCCAAGAGTACTCCAGTGATTGCTCAAACCAGTAAAGAAGTGTGGAATAGAGCTGGAACCGAGACCTTTCTCTCTCTTTTTTAAATTTAGTTTTGTTGTGATGAAAACATACACACCAAGACATTCACCAACATAACAACTCCCACATTTACAGCTCAGGGACATTGATGACATTTTTCACGTTGTGCCACCATTGGTTGGTTGGTTGGAATGTGCAGTAGAGTTGAACCTGACTCATAACGACCCCTCCTTGGGTTTCCGAGGCAGTATCGCTACGGAAGTAGATCGCCCCATCTTCCTTCTGAGGAATGGCTGGTGGGTTTGAACCACCAGCCTTCTGATTAGCAGTCAAGTGCCTTAGGCACTATGCTACCAGAGCTACCATTATAGCTATCCTTTTCCAGAATATTCTACCACCATTGGCATAAACACAATGCCCCGTAAAAAAATGCTTTCCCTTTCCCCCTCCCTCCCATCATGGGTAAACACTCATAATCTTTGGTTTCTACATTTATCTAGCTATATATTTATTATTATTATTGTTAAACCTATCTAGTAATTTTCTTTCCTCTCCCTTCCCATCTCTGGTAACCAACAAAGAAAATTTCCTTCTGTATATAAATCTTTCCTTGACTTTTTACAATAGTGGACTAATAAAATATTTGTCCTTCTGTGATTCATTTATTTCATTCAGCATAATGTCCTCCAAGTTCATCCACATTACGTGGTGTTTTGCGGATTCTACATTATTATTTAGAATGGTAGTATTCCATTGCATGTATGTACTACAGTTTGGTTATCCATTCCTCCGTTGATGGGCACTTAGGTTATTTCCATCTCTTTGCTACAGTAAATAGTGCTGCGATGAACATGGTCATGTATCTATTTGTGCCCCAACTCTCATTTCTTTAGGATATATACCTAGTAATGGGATTGCTGGATCAAATGGTATTTCTATTTCCAACTTTTTAAAGACTCATCATACTGATTTCCACAGTGGTTATATCCCTTTGGAGTCCCACCAGCAGTATATGAAGAGTCCCAATCTCTCTATATCCTCACCAGCATTTGTTATTTTCTGTCTTGTTGAACTTTGCTATTAGTATTGGGGTGAGATAGTATCTTGTTGTCTTGATTTGCATCTCCCTAGTGCCTAATGATCATGAACATTTCTTCATGTGTTTCTTGGCCACCTGAATGTCTTCTTCGGTAAAATGTCTGTTCATGTCTTCTGTCCATTTTTTAATTGTATTGTTTGTCTTTTTGATGTTGAGGTATTGCAGTTTTCTATAAATATTAACTGCTAAAAGAACTAACAGTTCTGTCCTGGAGGAAGTGCAGCCAAAATGCTCTTTGGAAGCGAGAATGGCCAGACTTCATCTCACCTATTTTGGTCTTGTTGTCAGAAGGGACCATTCCCTGGAGAAGGATGTCATGCTTGGTAAGGTGGAGGGTCGACAAAAGTGGGGGAGGCCTTCAACGAGATGGATTGACACGGTGGCTGTGATGATGGGCTCAAGCATAGCAGGGATCGTGGAGCTGGCGTAGGATCGGGCAGTGTTTCGTTCTGTTGTGCATGGGGTCGCTATGAGTCAGAGATGACTCGATGGCACCTAACAACAACAACAACATAAATATTAGAGATAAGTCCCTTGTCAGATGTGTCATTGCTAAATATTTTTCCCAATCTGTAGATTCTCTTTTTACACATTTGGAGAAGTCTTTTGGTGCCCGTAAGAATTTAATTTTTAGAAGGTCCCAGTCATCTAGTTTCTCTTCTGCTTCTTGTGCATTTTGGGTTATGTTTGATATATATATTTATGGCATAAATTGGGGCCCTTTGTCAAAGATCAGCTGACCATAGGTGGATGGATCTATTTCTGGGTTCTCAATTCTGTCCACTGGTCTATGTGTCTGTCATTGTATCAATTCCAGGCTGTTTGGCTACTGTGGCTGTATAGTAGGTTTTGAGATTTGGGAATGTAAGACCTCCTACTTTGTTCTTCTTCTCCTTCAGTAGTGCTTTGCTTATCTGAGGTCTCTTCCCTTTCCATATAAAGTTAGTGATTGTTTTATCCATGTCCTTAAAGAATGTTGATGGGATCTGCATCGGGATTGCATTGAATGTGGATTGGCCATCGCCATTTCCATTTAGACTCAGGCTAATGAATCACTGAGTGGGTCCCTCCAAGTTCCTGAGAGTTTCCCCTTTAGGTAGCCCAACCAAGCTAGACCACAGGCCTCCCCAAATCCCAGACAACTGTAGGCCCCCTGAGAATCAGGAGGCTGTACATAGCCTCTGGTCTTTGGCCCCAGCTCTGAGAAGATAGCCTCCAGCAGATGCAGAGCTCTGTGACCCTTCATTGCAAATGAATCTCACCTCAAATCTCAGTCTCCAGATAGCTCCAGTCCCATTTCCCTTACCTGATGGACAGCCAGCCATCTCTACTCCAGGCCCTCCAATCCATTGCCCACACTGTAGCAGGGTAACTTTTTAGATGTGAGATCCTCATGAAGTTCCTTGTCTTAGGGCTAAGCACTTGACAAGTCCATGGGGCTAGGACATGAATAGCCCTTGCCACGGGTTGCTCAGAACCTGTTCCCTTTACCACCCTAGCACTTTCATTCTAGTTCTTCTATATGCTGCCTTCTCCCTCCCTCCAGGCCTTTTCATATCTACCTTATACCCAAAAAACCAAAAACCAAACTCACAGTTGTTAACGTGCCATCGAGTCATCTCTTACTCATAGTTAGTTTCTGAGGCAGTATCTCTACTAGAAGTAGATTGCCCAACCTTCCTTCTGAGGAGTGG